CACGCAAACACAGGTCGAGTTTACGGTATTACAGGCGCGGTATTTATCATGATCTGGCTTACACTCCGTGGGATCGGATTGACTGCACCGGTATAGCCCACAATCGTGGGTAAACTTTATTTAGAAAAATATTTTAATAGCATTTAATTATTATAGATTCCTAAAACTAACTATGATGACCATGATAGCACACCGCCATTTAATTACCACTGGCTATGGCTATTGTTGGTAGTGGTGGCCACAGTCATCGCCATATGCTTATACATTGTGTGCAAAAGGAGAAAGGCCAAACAACATCCGTCAACACCGCCCCCTTTCAACACAAACAACTATACATTCCCCGGACGAAGTGGACGGGACAGTGGCGGACCCCACACAACCCCCACCCCTATCAACCCCTATATGGAACCGCCGCCTAAATACGAAGAGATGGTCGGGCAGTGCAGCTCCGGGTCGTCCGATGACAATAACATAGTGCAAACAGTATATAAAATAAATGACCTGCCCGTGTATCCACCTCTGCCCATCACATCGTACGCCCGAAATCTACCCGCCTATTCTGAACGCTGCGAACCTGGACACACATCTGGTCACCCTAGCGCGCCTATGCCTACGCCTTTGGTTGAGCAATTACCCCCGATTGTTGGGCAAACACCAGAATATACTGAGACATCTGACCCAGCATTAGGGTCGTTAGGAATTACTGACCATGGTGATTCTGGTGGTAGTGATTATGCGGTCCCAATAGTTACACAAACTCGGCATTTATCTATTGATTTCTCTGTACCGTTGCCCACGAGGTTGAGTGGTAATGACCCGACCGCACCCCCTCCCCCACCCATTCCCCTACCGGTCATTAATTATAACCTGGATGATAGTCAGCATAGTCTGTACATTAATACTCTATAAGTAATTGTATAATAATTACAATTTGTTTAAAATTAATTTTATAATATTTTATTATTGAGGTAAAAGTTTATTAGTTAAATAAAAATGTAAATATATAATTTTGTGTTCAGGCAATTCATTTGTTTAGACTAGTTTAGTATTTTAAGAAATTAATTTACAATATATTTATACTTATTATTTAAAAATTAATTCAATTAAATAAATTTAAAATATTAAATAAAAATAAATTTTGGTCTGTTCTTTACGATCCGTATAAGTAATTAATATGTTTTTCACTAAATTTAATTTTCTAAAATTAATTATGTTACAGTTATTACATACTTACATAATGCTATAAATCCGGCAACTTATTATAATCTAAACCCAACATTATTTAATGGATGGGATTTGTTACTAAAGAAACTATCATGCCTATTAATTGATTGTCATTAACACTACTCAACTAAACACTATGATAGAAAATTGTGTCATTCATAGAGATAATTGTTATAATTTTGTTTAAAAGTGTTTGTAAATATAAAACACCACAATAATAATACGTGTTTTAAAAATAATAATTAATTAATTTAATATAATAACTATTCTAAAAAATTTAGCCATGATGGATAAGTGCAATAATACGCGTGAACAAGTTATTATAAAATTTATTAAACCACCCATGATAATACTATTCATGATTGCCACAATAGTATTTGTGTTTCTATTAGTCTGGGAGTTGACATATGAACTAGGTGATAAATCGAAAGTATGGCACATATATTTTATAATAGTATTTACCATGGGCATTGTCCTGTCTATTCCGGCATGGTGCGGTGCCATTATTGATCATGGTCTTTTAATGAGGCCATTCTCAATTTACTTGTTTATTAATATTATATTGGGCATTGTGGCCACAGTTAAAATGCATGGCCTCTGGTTTTACCCAGTTTTATCACTAGTATTGTGTATGATTTACGGCTCATATGCCGAATGGGTTTGCCGTGAAAACGAGTTTAATGTTCTAGAGCAATTCAGACACCGTTCAGGTTGGTAGGTTTGTTTGCGATGTAAATATAATAATAAACTAAACATAATTTATTTTTTATGATCCTGGTGTGTATCACTAATAACATCAATTGGCAATTTGCACCACAATAAACATCACGTATAATCTAGCTAAAGCTAAATTTACTTTACTTGATGGCAAAAATAGTGGCCTGAATTCGCATAATAAACAACATAGCACACAAATTAGTGATGGTAAAACACCGGCTAGAATGCATACTGGATTTGATGAAACCTACGAATGATTATATTAGAGTTAATTATTAGCTCTGGTAATTAAATTAATCTTGATTGTTTTTATTTTTGTGTTGACGTTAATATGTCACATTAAATAATAATTTTATAATATAAAGTTTATTATTTATTGTTTGTTTGTTATATATTATACCTATTGTAGAGTAGTAAAATATATTTATAGCGACATATTGTACAGGTGTATTTATAAAATATTATCAAGTATATTGGTTGTCATTAACAATACATTTTATTGCAATCAGACATTGAAATAACTGTCTATTGTTTTGTTGATATTAACACAAAAGTATGTATTAACAAAAATAAGTAATAAATGGTCTAATTTAAACATTTTTAATAATAATTAACAATTTTAGTTTATTTTTAATTAATTAATTAATTGAACAAGTGACCAACATGCCTATGCGCAATAATAGGTGCAAGGCATTTATTATTGGATATATAAGAATGTGCATGGTAGCACTGTTTTTGACGACCACATTAGTATTTGTGTATTTAATAATTTGGGAGGCCAATTATGAGCTTGGTGAAAAACCAAAACGATGGCACATCTATTATCTAGTGTTATTTAGCATGGGCATTTTTACAACAATTACGGCATGGGTTGGTGCCATTATGGATTGTGGTTGTTTAATAAGACCTTTCTCAATTTACCTATTAATCTGCACCATATCTGGTTTTGTGGCCATGGTCAGAATTTATGAATTCTGGTTTTACCCGATGTTATCGTTAATATTATGTGTAATATTTGGTGGATATGCCGAATGGGTTTGCCGTAAAAACAAGGTTAATGCCCAAACTCCTTGGAGCATTTCAGATAAAGTCCAATCTGGTAAGATTTTATTACATTAGTGCTAAAATAATTGTGTTAAGATTATTTTTCTATAAAATTAACTGTTTATATTTAATTTTTATAATAAAACAATTTGAGAAACTGTAATTTAATTTCATAATTGTTTATTTGATATACATCAATTTATATTAACATATACATTGGATTTTATGGACCTTCTGAATACTAAATTACTAATTTTTACATTATTATTTTAGCAATGATCCGTGTAAACACCTTGCTCAATTATACCGAACATAATATGAAACGCTACGAAGCGGCAAATATCACCACAGTCAACATCACTTACGATCTAGCTACCTTAATAAACGTCAGAAATAATATTATAGATTTGCGCCAAAAAATCAGCGATATACAAACTGGTTATCAGCTACATGAAGAAAATCACCTTGCACATTTGTGTGTTGAGCTAACACAATGGGAACAGTGGACACAGGACTGGGTAAAAAGGATGGATGATTATATGAGGCACAATCAGTGTGACAATTGAAATTTATTTGAGTTTGTTTTCATAAGTGTAAATACATGTATAGTATATTTAAAAAATGGTAAAAGTATATTTAAATTTATATGTAAATTATTTATCGCATATTTATTATATGTAATTAATAATTTTTCAGTGATACAAAATTTTGAGAGAGAGAGAGAGAGAGAGAGAGAGAGAGATGAGGGTATTGTTTAATAAATATTGAAACTGTAACAAAATATTGGATTGAAAAATGTGTAAAATAAAAGGCTTGATTATTTTCAACTATTAAATATTTCCCAAATACGCTATTCTTATGGAATTGCCAATGAATTTCATTCATATGCAATTAGATTACAGTTTATGAATACATGCAACTCATTGAATGTGAGAATATAAATATGAGAAATATTTTTTTAAAACTATTAATAATTAATCATTATTATTCAATTTTAATTTTTAAATAATTTTGTTTAAAAACACTGTTATATTGTGTTCAATAAGTTTAATTTACAAATGATAAATAATTGTAAGATCAGTATTTGCAGTAATTTCATCTGTTAATTGTTATATAAAATTATATAAATAAAGTATATACTGTATAATATAATTATGTATGATAATTTAAAAAATCAATTATAGATAATTAATTCAATTTTATGTTAGTAAAATATTAAATAAATATTAAATTTTACAAATAATTATTTCAAAATAACGACAATATATTATTTTTATAACATTACACATTTAATCTATTAAATAATAATTTAGAAGAATATTTTTTATATTGTGCTTTAAAATTAAATTATTAATAACAAATTGAACATGTTTGTAAAAAAATATAAGTTCATAGTTTTAAATAAAACAATTAAAATTTAAATAATAAAGTAATAAAATATATTTAAAAAATAAAATAAATTTCGAAGTGTAACTTTATTAAATTAAAAATTATTATAATTAATTAAATTTACCATTAATAACTTAATAAATAAATGTTAAATTCAAAAAGATCATTTAATAATTATTTTAATTTATTGTATTCATATCAACGCACAATAAATGTGTTGTTTTGGTCGCCAATGTTACTATCAGGGTAGGAATCACAACCAGGATTATACTGGATAACTATCATTAGTAATGACTCATTGCAATCAACAATAGAAATAATATGCCATTGTTTTCATCCTAACTCAAAATAATGAGCAATTAATTAATAATAAAATTAATTTTAATCATAACTGAAATATTATTATTAAAAATACATCATACCTTACAAAATAACCATGATCTGCAAATGTTGCTGTGATATTAGGACAGTGCAAATAATCATGAAATGTCTCAAATGGTTGATGGTAATACTGTGCTTCGTGTGTACCATACTATTTCTCACCTTGTTAATTGTGGAAGTTAAGCATAATCTACTTAGGTTACATGGTGAACCAGATAAATGGCATGTATATTACGTAGTGTCATTTACCCTGGGCTTTGTTGTATGCGGCACAGCAACGTATGGTGCTTTCAGGAATCGTGGTAGGCTTATGCGACCTTTCTCCATTTACTTGTTTCTCAATATAATATCGGGAATTGTGGCCGCTATTCAACAGCACGAGCTCTGGTTTTACCCTTTTGTATCATTTATATTGTTTGCCATTTGCGGCTCATATGCAGAGACTATTTGCCTTAAAAACAAGGATGATGCTCAAACCGCCAGCACCATTACGGATTCTGTTCAATCAGGTAGCTTTATTTGATGTTTTCTATGATAAACTAGATTAATTAGGTTTAAACTAGACATTAATTAATTGTAATACGTAAGAATTAAATATTGACCAATTCATAATTAATAATTCAACCTTTAGAAATGCTATTTTAAGTAATGCAATAAAAATATATAATAAAAAACAAAAATATATAAAAACTGCAATTACTTAAAATATTATAAGTTATAACAAGTTATAAAATATTATAAGTTATAATTTATAACAGTGTTGTGGCAAACTGTAGTTTAATTTATTAATGATGTATTATATTAATGTCAATTTGTTTTAGAAAAACTCTTGGGTGAATTTAAAGAGATTCATTTATAATTTTTGAATAAATAATTTTTTTCCATCACTTTAGCCATGATCAGGATAAATACACTTCTCAATTTTATCGCCCACAATATGAAACGCTATGAATCGGCAAATCCCACCATGGTGAACATTACGTATGATTTGGGCACTTTGATTAATGCCAGGAATAGTATTGTGGATTTGCGTAACAAAATCACCAACATACCTGCTGTTAATCAGAATAACCTGGTTGATTTGTGTGTTGAGTTAGCGCATTGGGAACAGTGGACAGAGGACTGGGTTAAAAGGATGGATGACTATATTGAGGGTCAATTGATGTCATAATTGATATATTATCGCAAATACATGTTTATAAATAAGTTATTTAACAGACTTATATACATTAAATGCTTGCACACAAATAATTTTATGGCAAAATTTTTTAATATTTATTATTTATTGTGCATTTATAATGTAATAATATAATTATTAGAGTGCATCACTGTTTATATTAAAATGATTTTATCGCCAATTAATAAACTTTAAGAGCTGAATTTATTAAAATAAAACATGATTAAAAATAAAAATTAATTAAAAGAACATTAAATTTTGTTCATGTTCATAAAGCGTATATCATTAAATCCAGAATTTTGAGCCAAACTGTGAGACACATTATAATTAATTAAATTAAGTTATTACAATATGTTGAATTAAAAAGTTTCAACTATTTTGTCTGTCAAATCACGGACTGTCTTTTTTCCTCCAATTTAACAATCATGCAATATAAATGGCAATACGTAATTACTTATTTTATTAATATTACAGTTTATTATATATACTTAATATTTTTATGATAGACTAGATCAGGAATGTCCAAAGACATGTTTTAGGTCAACGTAGATGTTGAACAATCATTATATTCGGATATATGAATGTATTAGGGAATATCATGTCGTACATAAATGATAATCCAGATTTGCCCGAATATTTGCCCGAATGGGCTTTACTGGACTAGATTAATTATGTTTTAAATAAATATTGGTTAATTATTATACGTAAGAAATAAATGTTGATTAATTCATCATTAATAATTAAACCTTAATAGATTATATTATTACATAAATTATAATAATAACAATAAATAATAAAAATAACTAAACAAGAATAATTTTAAAATTTAAATACTATAACAGTATTTGGTAGACTGTAATATAATTTATTTAACATTTATTTTATATATTTAAATTTAATTTAATAATATTATTAAACTAAATAATATTAAATTATTAATAATTTTTTCAATTACTTTAGCCATGATCAAGACAAACGCCTTTCTGAATTTTATTGCTCATAACTATAAATCGGCAAATCCCACTATGGTGAACATTACGTATGACCTGGGTACTTTGATTAATGCCAGAAATAGTATTGTAGATTTGCGCAACAAAATCACCAACATACCTGCTGCTAATCAGAGTAGCCTGGTTGATTTATGCGTTGAGTTAGCAGATTGGGAACAGTGGACAGAGAACTGGGTTTAAAAAATGGAAGACTATATTAGGGGTCAATCTATGTAATAATTAACGTATTTTCACAAATATTTATAAATTAAATTCTCTCAAACAAATATTTTTATGCCAACATTTTATATTTGTTATTTATTATGTATCATCATTAAAAATTTATTAATAATTACATCACGAAGAATAAATGAATTGTTAAAAATAACCTTTTAATGCTAATTATTATAAATGTTGCGTCTTGTAAATTATTTTTAATTAAATTAACTATTTACTAAATACTAAACATTGTACCTTGAAATGTTTAGCAAACTGTAGTATAATTTTTAAATTGTTTATTTAACCCTAGACGCGTAGGGTGGCCTATTTTTAGTGTTTATTAACTTTATAAATCAATTAAAAATTAACTAATAAATCTACTGCTATTAAAATCCAGGAATGCTTCAACAATAATAAGCCTAAAATAACTACAAATTATTAAATGTATACAATAAGTGCAAATATTACTAAATCATGATTTTTACTATTATTAGGCCAATAAACACGTAACGTAACATTTTATATCATAGCATCAATAATGCAATGGTCTAATATTAGGCCACCCTACATGCAATACGCTGGCCTATTTATTGGCCACCCTACATCTTAATAAATGTTTTTTAAAGCGCATGACTGCATTCACGTGAATGCAGACAGTAATAGTATAGTTGAGTGTGTTATAACCCAAACCACAATCCATTTTGTTTGTCTTATTGTAAACAACAAAATAATGTTTAATATTAATTTTAAATAAAACTTAAACAACAATTGATAATTGTGGTAATTATTAATAACATTTATGATTTAATAAATAAGTAAATAATGATGTGTACAGTATATTAATTGAGTTGTGAATATATATGTAATGAATCTACATTTATTTGTTTTGTTTATAATTATTAGCAAAAATGTCTGTAAATACTAATGATATAAATGAAACTCTAGATGAATGTGATGATAATGATAGTGACATTAACTCCAATATTACTGAACAAAGTGAACATAATAGTGAATCCGAATTTGAAGTAGATAGTGAATCAGAACCAGTATATTATTCTGATTCAGACGACGACATAAATATATCTCAATCACAGGCATCTAATTATGGAGACATATCATTGCCATCGACATCAACGACCAAAACATTAATTCAAAATATCTATCGATTCAAAGAGGGGCCTAAAGTAAATGAAAATGAATGCCAAGACATCGTTTCAACATTTCAACATTTTTTTACTAATGAAATGTTAAGACTAATAGTGAAATATACTAACGAAAAGATATTGATTAGACTCACGGATACAACAAAAGCCAAACCAAGTGGCATTTATGCT